GTATTCGGATACTTTGATAAACCTTTGTCAGTGTTTTTAAAATATGATCTTTCAGTGATTTGAAGTGATTTGAATTTACAAATGGCTGCTTTACGAGCGGATGATAAAGAGCTAGCATTAGAAGTTAACTCTCCATTTAGTGGTGGTTGCATTCTACATCCTTTTGATTCCTCCTGAGTTTCCTTTATTGTCCCATTAGAACCACCAATATTTATCTTTGGAGAGTCACGTTCAGTATCTATCACCGATGAGTTATGTTTACTCAGCGATGAATCTCGTGTCTTTTTACGAGTCCCTTTAGCAAGCATTTGAAACAGTCTATCTTCTGATGGATCCTCCAATTTGTCTCTATTTGGGTACCTTCCGCGCGTTTTGTATTTTTTTACACGAGCTCTAGGAGTACTGAGTAAACGATCAGAAAACTCAGTTAAACAGTCAAATGATGAACTAGAATCAGAGTCAGATGAATATGGTGAAAGTGGCTCAAGAAGGTCGTGGAAAGAAACCAATTCATTGATCTCCTTAAACAAGGCAACATGGTCAATCTGCCTATCGGTAGGTAATCCATCCATTGGCTGCATAAAAACAAGGAAATACAGGTTAAAAATCTAATGGTTTAAATTAAAATTTGCATTGAGTGAATACATTAAATATAGATAGTAGCAAGTAAAGAGCAAAGAGTAGAGAGTAGATGAGAAAAGGCAAGGAAAATAGATTGGGTTAGCATAAAGATATTGTGGTTCCAAAATGTGATGTAACATACATTGAAATAGGTGAGAATAGCAAAACTTACCAATAAAAATGGACACAAAGGCTTGTCTACTGGTCCAAGGTATTATAAGAAGATTCGTGGTGAACAATCAAGGTAAACCAAGGTGTTAATTTAAGTTAAATTACTTAGACGATTAGTTGAAATGGATAATGTTTTCAATTAACCGCGATTAAAAATCCACAATGCTGCCTGTTCACCTTTTTTGTTAAAACTGCCCTCTGCTGGAAGAAGACAAACATTTACTATCTAGAAGTCGGTCTTCTACAAATTATTTCAATTAGGATTTTGGTAAACTCAACTATCCGGTCTCTATTTAAATTATCAAAGGTAATTATTTACTTTTTAATTTTTTGATTATTATTTTGTACAGTTTATTTGATATTCCACGCTACTGTTCGTGTCCTCTCATCCATCTTTTAATCAACTCTTGAATTATTAGCATTGTTCATTGATTTGTTTCTTTTGCCCTTGACTCAAAGACAACATGGCAATGAGTGCTCTTGCTACCAAGTTTGGTCCTACTTTTAATATCGCTAAAAATGCATCATCTAAATTATCGATTAAGCAGGTCAGTACCGTTTATTAATATTTTCTGGTCATCTTTTTTTGGAATTGAAGCTTAATAAATGCCTATCTTTATCTTTTGCTGGTAGATGTTGAAACTCAATGGAGCCACTAGTGTACAGGCTTTCAGATGCATCAGCAGTTCTTCACCTAGAAAAGCTGTCTCTTCTGAAGTTTCAGCTATTTTAGAGGAAAGAATTCTCGGTAAAACATCTTCTGTTGATCTAGAAGAGACCGGTCGAGTTTTAAGCATCGGAGATGGTATCGCTCGTGTATATGGTCTTAAGAACATTCAAGCCGAAGAGATGGTTGAATTCTCTAGTGGTCTTAAGGTATGGAATCCTTCAAAGAAATTTTGATATTGTCTCTATTGACCTTTAACCCACTTTATGAATTTAACTGCAATTAATTTCATCGGACTCAATCGGCAATATTCAGTAAACCAGACGAATCTAAATTTTAGGCTTCCAATTTTAAACTCTTATGCCATATGTCCTATTTGACCTGATTGCCCTTTAATTTAAAAATTATTTGGTTTAAAGTTATTGAGTATGCAATTTATATTCAATCTTATTTTTAATTTATGGTTTATTTTTTAGGGTATGGCTCTCAATTTGGAGCCAGACAACGTAGGTATTGTCGTTTTCGGTAATGACAAACTTATTAAGGAAGGTGACATCGTCAAAAGAACTGGTGCCATCGTAGATGTTCCTGTTGGTGAAGGTCTATTAGGGCGTGTTGTTGATGCTTTGGGTAATCCTATTGATGGAAAGGTGAGTAGATTAACCGATCAATTTTCTCGGTAACTCAGCTATCCTACTAGATGATTATCTAAATATTTGCATTGCTTTCAATCAGGGTCCAGTCAATTGTAAACAAAGATCTCGAGTCGGTGTTAAAGCACCAGGTATCATTCCTAGGATCAGTGTAAGGGAGCCTATGTTGAGTGGAATCAAAGCCGTAGATAGTTTAGTACCCGTCGGACGAGGTCAACGAGAATTGATCATTGGTGATCGTCAAACTGGTAAAACTGCCATTGCTGTTGATACTATCATCAATCAAAAACGTTTCAATGACGCCGATGACAAGAAGAAGAAGCTTTTCTGTATCTACGTTGCTATCGGTCAAAAAAGATCAACCGTCGCTCAAATTGTAAAGCGATTGACTGATACTGGTGAGTTTTATTCAAATCTACCTATTTTCCATAGCACAACTCACCACTAACTTATTTCAATCTATTTTATAGGTGCTATGAAATACACCATCGTTGTAGCCGCTACTGCATCTGATGCAGCTCCCCTTCAATACTTGGCACCCTACTCTGGTTGCGCTATGGGAGAATTTTTCCGAGACAATGGAATGCACGCTTTAATTATTTATGACGATCTTTCCAAACAGGTAAATTCATTTAATCGATAATCTTTCTCTTTACCCTATTTAATCATTTCCATAACTTTGATAATTTCTACAGGCTGTTGCCTACCGTCAAATGTCTCTTCTTTTGCGAAGACCTCCTGGTCGTGAGGCTTACCCTGGTGACGTTTTCTACCTTCACTCTCGTCTTTTAGAGAGAGCTGCCAAGATGAACGACAACTTTGGTGGTGGATCACTCACTGCTTTGCCAGTTATTGAGACTCAGGTATGACCTTTATCAATAGCAAGCATGGATGAGATGTAATCTGAAAACTAATAATGCTTTAATTTTATAGGCTGGTGATGTATCTGCTTATATTCCTACCAATGTCATCTCTATTACTGATGGGCAAATTTTCTTAGAAACTGAACTTTTCTACAAAGGTATTCGACCAGCTATTAACGTCGGTTTGTCTGTATCTCGTGTCGGATCTGCTGCTCAAACCAAGGCCATGAAGCAAGTCGCTGGTTCAATGAAACTTGAGTTAGCCCAATACAGAGAAGTTGCTGCTTTCGCCCAATTCGGTTCTGATTTGGATGCTGCTACACAACAATTGCTTTCCAGAGGAGTCCGATTAACCGAGCTTCTTAAACAAGGTCAATATGTCCCTATGCCAATTGAGGATCAAGTAGCTGTTATCTACACCGGTGTCCGAGGTTACTTGGATAAACTTGACCCTGCCAAGATTGGTGAATTCGAGCGACAATTCCTTGCTCACATCAAATCTCAGCACTCTGATATTCTTAGCGCTATTGCCACCGAGGGTAAAATTAGTGATACCCTTGACGCTAAAATGAAACAAATTGTCACAGATTTTATGGCAACTTTCAACGCTTAAACTCAAAACACTTTTATCACTTTAATCCTGTCCTCTTCAAGTCAATAGCTTTGAAAACTCAATCCACACAGAGTTTAGGTTGTTTAGTAAAAGAAACGAAAAAATCCTCAATGGTGTAAATCAGAGAAATTGAATAAAACGCTTATACTATGGGATGGGAGAGTCTATCAAAGAACTAATCGGTCAAAGACAATTGTATTATTGTATAATAAAATCGTAATCATATGACCATGTCAATGTTCTCTTCTAATAAGTTAAAGTCATCAGTTGCGTTGAAATTAAAAATGTCATGAATTTTAATCTGATTGTTCAAGCATTTAATTTACCCACAAATTAACTCGTTACTATTTTTCTGCCAAAAACCGATCACACCAAAGCTAAATTGATTTTAAGTAATCATTTAACCAAAAGGGCGTCCTTTTAGATGAAAATGATACATAAACGTACCTTCATAATAAGCATCAGAATCGTTTATATAATTATCGCAATCAAATAAAACAAGTTTAAAAGTAAATAAAAATTACCTTTAATATTGTTTACAAATAACCAACTTTCAGGAACCCATTTTCAACTGAATGTAGATCCTATTAATAAATAGTTGAATTGTGTAACTTGCAGTTTCTCAGTTTTCGCTAAGAAACTTACGTCAAGCTCAAAAATAGCGTTAGCTAGCCCGGAGGACTCATTCAAGGCAAAATTTCAGGTTTTCAATAAGTTTAATCGATATGTTATTTGTCTTTAAAAATCTGTGATTTAACCTAAGGAGCAAAACAACTAGATTTTCCGCTATTCAATAGCTGATCATGGAATCGACTTGCTTAGTTTGAATTCAGATTCAGACCAATTAGTGTAGTGATATTGAATGGACATCGCAATGTATTTTATTAAATCAGTTTGGTTAAACTCTAAATTGTTACAATTATTGACATTGGGACCTTTGTCGATTCTCCTTTTTGTGTTATTTAAAAAGCTTTACAATGCTGTTCGTTTCATCTTACACTATCGTTCATTTCCTTCAAAGAAAAGCCACTTGTTTTTTGGTGACCTGAAAGAATTGATTCCATCATTTCCCTCACTCTCATCTAAAGCATCATCAAGTAAGTTTAAACTAATATCCAACGTAACCACAATTAAGAAATTACCATCTTTTCGCAATTACAGCGTACGCAGCTGAATTTATTTTGGATCAACAAGCGAAAAATGAAAATGAAGGAGTCTTTGTGTTATGGGTATCTTGGTATCCAGTGGTTTCTGCTTGCGACTATCGAGCTGCTGAGGTGAGAATTGTTCATTTTCTTAGGAAACGTTGTCTAAGCATCTAATGAACTCATTAATCAGTTGAAATAGTTTTTATAGTAAACTAAAAGTCTTGTTTGAATTATTGTTGGATCTATCCAAAGACTCTATCAGCAGCTGACTATTGCTTAACATTTTTTTATTTCAATTAACCATTATTTTATTGTTTGAACTGTTCGTCATAGGCTATTCTGACTAAACCAAATCACGACAAAGGCAGCTTCTACAAATTTCTTGGTCTTAAAGATGGTCTTGTGGTGTCTCATGGGCCTAAATGGAAGGCTAGAAGACGAATGATTGAACCCTTTTTCAGCACTAAAACCCTATCATCATACCTCCCTTCAATGAAACAATCATTTCGTTCAATGATAAAAGAATTAGGAGAGGAAAAAATGGAATCCATTGACATGGGTGAAAATATTCACAAGTGTTCATTGGATATTATAATGAAAAGTACTATGAGTATATCCATTGAATCTTTGCGTGAAAGAAAAAATGAAATGATAAGAGATCTCGACTTTTGTGAGAAAACGGTCATCACCCGTATGCTCAATCCTCTTCTGTGGCCTGAAAACATGTTTTATAATTCCGAATTAGGTAAAATTTTCAAAGAATGTGAAAATCGAATTGACCATTTCACCGAATCGAAAATCAAAGAAAGACTTGAATCCCGAACTGAGTTACCTAAAGTGAATGAATCAGAGAGAGAAATGAGAAATGATTTCATTGATCTACTGTTAAATCACTACAAGCCTGATTCAACGGATGTTACTAAATCAATTGACATCGAAGGAATGAAAGAAGAAATACTTAACCTGATTATTGCTGGACACGACACCATTGCTTCTGGACTTCGATGGACCCTTTTCCTCTTAAGTAATTTAAAAACATCAACAGCGACAACTCTGATAAAAATACTTTTTAGCAACTATGTATTAAAACCTGTCTTCATTTATTTTCAGGTTGCAATCTAGACTGTCAAGAGAAACTTTATAACGAGATTTCAAGCAGCCTTGATGATGATGACAATCTCACAGACTTGGAAGCAATCAGCAAATTAACATACCTGGATCAATGTATCAAAGAGAGTATGAGACTTTACCCACCGGTTCCCATTTTGGCTCGAATATTAGATCATGATGCTCAAGTTGGTAAATATCGCATTCTTAAGGGCACAGTAATTATTTTCTCATATTATGCCATCCATCGAGATAGTAAAGTCTGGGAAAATCCAGATTCTTTTGATCCAGATCGTTTTAGTGAGGAAAGGTTTGCAAAAATTCCAAAGTTTGCTTTTATACCTTTTGGCCATGGGCAAAGAAGTTGCATTGGACAAAGATTTGCCATGATTGAGATGAAACTGTTCATAATACATTTAGTTAGAAAATACAAGCTTGTTTCAACTCAAACAGTTGATCAAGTTAAATTTGATATGGATGTGACAATGAAACCCAAAACCCCTCTTACATTGAAACTTTTTCCAAGAGAGACACTCGCTTGATCTTTCTTGATTATTGTAAAAAGATGAGATTGAAATTTTGAATAAAATTGCTGTATTTAATTTTGATACCTTTTTATGAGAGCATCCAAAAAATTTTCAGAAAAACATCAATTTGATTCAACAAATGAAGTAAAATATCAATAACGTCGATAATGCTTGAGCGTACAAAAAATGTCCAGTTTATGAAAGCTTTCATGATTTAGGAATATTTTGATTGAGGATCTATTGGAAAAATATCAATAGTTTTATCTGAATCAATCAGATGTACAAAAATGAGGCTTAAGCAAATGAAAATAGTCTAGAGGCTTGATTTTCAAGGTGATCCGAGCAGTCAACCATTAGTTGTCACAATAACAGTGATTATTTGAGTTGGTCTAGCCACTGATCTGGCTATTGTTTCGAAGATTTCTTTCCATGTATTCAATAACCAGTTGAGGACACTTTTGCTCAGCAACATGACTTGGGATGATTCCATGTGGAATCTCGTTCTTCCTGAAAACAATAAAATGTCAAAGAATGAAGTACTTTCATCAATCATTTATCAATAGCTTTTGATTGTTAGTTTACTCACCATTTAACAAAATAAATGATCTCTGATCCAATTTTTGTGACACCAGTGATTGCTTCAGGTGTTAATCCTGCATCAAATCCAGTTGGTTCATTAGGACCGAATAGAGGTTTCACTTTAGGCTCATGTCTGGCCCTTTCTTCAGCATCTGCCCGTCTTCTTTGTTTCTCTTCATAAGTCGCAATCAGTTCTGGACAGTTTACATTCTCTTCTTTTTCCCAAGAATTGAAAGAACTGGCCCAACCAGTCCATTTCAAGAAGTATTCTTTCTTTCCATCTCGTACTCGTACATCCAATATTTTTTCAACATCGTACATTTCATCTTCTGCGTTATTTGTATCCATGATTTTTCACGAAATAATTTGAAAGTCTCGATCAAAAACGATAAAAACAAATTTCCAGCAACTTCGGTCAATTATTGAAGAAAACACGATTTTGTAATGGATGAAACAACAACAACTAGTTAGGAATGGTTATCCAAAAGAAAACAAACTCCTTCCTCTCTCTTCTGCTCTTTCCTCTTCAGTGACTAAATGCTGCCTTTAACCACTATTTTCTGACTATTCATCAATTTACAGTAAAAAACGAAATTTTCGTGGATTTTACTAAACAATTTATAAAATCTTGAGAATAACTTAAGAGTTTTGTATAAATATTCATGTAATCATATCGAATCACTAAAAATTATTGGAAAATTTAGTTATTTTAGTGGTTTTCAGCAATTTAATAGTTTCAATTAAACGTTCACTTACAAAGTTAGATTGTAAAGTGGAACGACAATGTAAATTATTCAAATATGTTTAGAAAAATGATTAAAATAGCAAAAGTAATTTGGTTAATGGACTTTTATTTTTTTATAACAAATTTGAATTGACTAAAAGTTTGGAATCTTCTCCATGCAATCCAACGGCTTTTGTGGTCATCGTTATTTAATCTTCATTGAACATTGTTATTAATGCATTGAAGAAACTTGTGTCGATGATTGTACACAAATTGGTTGATCTACAGGTAAAAGATTGGGTCTCAAAGGACAATTTAACGTGAGGATGGTTGGTTAAAATCAATAAGTTAAATTACAATTTATTATAATTTCATATAAGAATGGAATAGAATATTGCTAGCATCATAATTCTTGTTTTACATATTTAGGTTTAAGTTGTTCCACTCGTTTGATGAACTCGGCTTTTTCAATGCAACCCTCACAGGTTTCATCCCAATCGTTTAGTATTTTCTTCAGATCTCGAACTCGAAGTTTTTTCAAGTCAACATTGTTTAAATCTATCACCTTCTCATAGCGAAGTTCACAGATTTGTGAATCTTTTTTATGTAATTTATCACAGATTTTATCTGCAGGAAGACCCCAACTTAATGGTTTACTCAATTCTGAAACAATTTTAGTGGCAGATTCCTCCAAAGCTCCAATATAGTAACACTAAAAGTATAACAAAAATAATAGACAATAAAAGAAAATAATGAGACATAGGAAAAATGAAGTAAACGTTAAAGACAAGTTAATCTTTTGATAAAGAGAAAGTCAACCATGGAAAGTAGTCAAATATAAAATTAAAACAGTACAAGAGAATTTCATTCAAGACTATTGCCCTTTTCATGGTAGGAAGAAAGAGTTGGAAGGACCGATTGTAAAAGCAAAACAACATTTTAAAGTCAAGGTCAACACCCTTTCCCTCAAGATACGGAAATAATTTCCACTTATAAAAGCCTAAACGTAAAGGGTAAATGTTGCGGCGAGACAACCGGCGAACCAATGGAAAAATCTTAAATACTAAGAAACTTGGGACTGAAAACGCAATTGAGATGGAAAAATGACATTGAATTTCAAAATTGATTCTACTTACAAAACGATTTTCGGATTTCTTGGTTGTTTTACAAAATTCTGACAGCTTGGCTTCAATTTTAGCTGGATCACTTTTTTCATCATTGGAAAGCTGTTCAATAAGCTTATTTACAACACCAACACAGACTAGAATAGATATAAAAAAGAATAAGAAATTGTCAGACTTAGGTACAGAGGTGTAAAACGAGGATAAATATGGATTACTTACCTTCACAGTCACCGGGTTTTAACGATAAAGCCGATCGAATGAAAAATGTATTAGCTAAGATGAATAAGCTTATAGTGACATCCATCACAGAGACCATGATTGCTGTGATCTACTTGGTAGAATGTGTTAAAAATGCAAATATAAAAGATACAACAATTAATTAAATAACTATAAGTAACTAATCCAAAGAGTTGATTAAAAAAGTGACAATTTAATACAAATTAACTGTAATATTTACGGAAAATTGAAACCAGAAACACAACTCAACTTGTCACTCTGTGATTGGTTGATTCAACACATGAAGTTCAGAGCCATCTAGAGTATAATTCAAAAACTATATAAATTTTATCCAGATTTTTTTGTAATGTTTGATTGTTTTCAGGCATTTTTGATATATTATACGTTGATTTGTTGCTATTAAAACACTCTGTGCGTCCATCAGTTTTATCATTAGTCCGATTTCCGTTGCTTTCTGGACATAAAATCGAAATAAGGAAAATTATTTTTTCCACATTGTATGTCAGATACGGTTTGTCCCCACAAAAGATGAAGTTATACACACTTCTTGCTCAAATATGTTTGAAATTTACCAAATCCAAGCAAAAAATGACCTGTAGTAAATCAAATTCAAACAAAACGATCAAACTCGCAAAAAATGAGAGACTCGAGCATTGATTCTCAATATGATTTAAAAATAAGAGTTTAGTCCCAACAAATTAAATAAAGAAGTTTGCTCATTTACGAACCAACTTTCAAGCTCTTGAAGCATTAATTTGTTAGTTTTCACCCGATAATTCCAATATAGGAACATACTTATCTGAATCATTAGCTATAAACTAAAAATTTTACAAATTTTAATGAAAAAAAGAATATTTAGTTTACTCATTTGCCAAAAGATGTCGTTACTGGTAACAGTAAACATTTATTTTATGATGGAGTGATTTTTGGCGCGCTAAATTGAAATTCCTTCAAATGGAGGCTAAAAACTTACAAAGCTTGTACACTTATCAAATTAAATTAAATAAATCTCATTATTCTAGACTTTCGACTGTTAAGCTTCTTTTAATTCAAAAAACTTGCTGAGGTGTATAACAGCAATTGATGGGCAATTGCAATCCAAACGCTATTCAAAAGCTTGGAAACTTAAAAGACAAGAAATGCGCAAAACCACCTTTGCCATTGTAACAATTGGAGATATAAATTGAATTAAAATTAAGGATATTTAACAGAATGGACAGTATCACAGCCATTGGTTGCAATTTCGAGATAAATTTACAAAAGCAAAACATGAATTCACAAGAACATAACTGTTAATTGTTGATCAAAACTTTCAAGAATTTTCAAATAAACTCACCAATGAATGCATTGGAATCTTGAATAAAAAGGAAACAGTCAAATTTTCGGGTTCCAAAGGAGTTGCAATGTAAATTTATTTTTGTTGAAAACCAACAACCAACAGTTATGTTAATGAATATGAAATTCACATCAAAAATCATAACAAATTGAAGCCTGATAATTCTGGTTCGATTGATTAAAAATAATATCGATTGCAAACACTATTGCTAGTAATTTTTCAATTGAAGGTTGAGAAAAAGATAACCCAAAGATTTTCTTGTAGACCTGATACTAAAGATCCAAGCCAATTCCCAGAATGATTTGTATTGAATGTTGATGAATTTTAAAATAAATGTGACGGAAACAGTAAAGTTGAAAGCGATCGACTGTAATAAATTGACAAGCCTATCAAAAAACCTTAAAATGTCGATGAAAAGTTGTTTATTTAGCAAGTTAAATGGCAGTCAAATGGGCGACTGTCAACTGTTTAAATAATGAATGTACAAGTTAATAATACTTTTCTGGTAAACCACAGACTTGACTGAACAAGATCAATTTACACGAAGCTTTAGTCAATTATTTTAACCTCTAAAGGTGACTTGGAAAAGATAATGGCCACAATGATATGGACATTTCATGTGAAAGGGTTAACATGTCAATCACGGCAAAAAGAGAGCTGAATAGTAATTGATGAGCAACAACAGCAAGAAATGTTTATTGGTTAAAAAATGGTAAAAATTTGTTTAAATTGTTGGTCCAAAGATGATATTGAAGATTGACTTTTCCTGCGGAAAAGTAAAAAGGTTAAACACTTAATAAAACTGGATTTGAGTCATGAAAAGAATCACAGTCCCATGAAAAGAAAGGAAAGAAAGAAAAATAATTTACTCAAGATTATAAATGGGTCCAGTAAACCTGTCCCTCAACCCATCAACATTGACCATCAAAAGGTGACCAAAAGTGACACAAAAAAGAGCGACAAGTTAACCAGCTCAAGAAAAGTGCAAGACAAAACGGTAACAACAGCAAAAAGAGCAAGCAGAGACCAAAAAGGGCCAAAGACACAATGAAGTCCAGTGATTAGTGGCGCTCGGCCTCCTACAGCGAGTTCAGGTTAATAATATTTTTCAGTTCAAATTGATTGCTAGGGAATAATTGATAATTATAATCAATGGCAACAACCAGAACAAGGCAATAAACTGATAAATTGAAGGTTTCACTTTCACGGTTCCCATTATTATCCATATTAATACAATTTTTGGTCAACTTTGTTTGCTTACCTCTTAACACCAGAGAACCCAAGAAAAGGTTTCAATATCAGTTATTATTGAGATCCTATTGTGTTATTGTTGTCGTTTACTTGTTTACATTCCTATCCTTAAATTATCATTTTTATTATTACTATTTGTTTTGTCACAATTTAATAACATTAACATTACCAAAAACTACTGGTTCCTTTAGCGACACACAATGAGCAACATTTAAATCTGGACAACAACAAAAAGACTTTTCAATGGCAAAAGCACCGTTTACTCGCCATTCATCTTTTTTTCATTATACATTTGCCTTGATTGACATTAGACGGTTAAACTTAACCTTAAGCCTGGCTGTTAATTTCAGGAAGGAAATTGAAACAACATGAAAACGATGATGATTATGATAAAGGATGAGATGGTTAACCAAGATCACCAAGCAAAGGTTATCACAGAGAAGAGACAAAAGTAAACCTGAAAATGCATCTCAATTGGTTAACAATGGAAACATGAATAGTTGCAGGATAAACGATACTTTGACACTTGCTGAGAGGATGAAGATGTAGCCACATGAAGAGAGAGAGACTGAACAACAAGCTTTACCAATTGTTAATCAATCAGTGAATATTTCATAAATGGAAAGCTTAACTGAGAAAACCTGAAAAATGATGGATAAAATTGCCGGTAAATTCATTATTCTCACCCCAAAAATATTGAATACAACATTGGTTAAAGACTAATCTTTCACCAAATCTGGTTAATCATTTGTTTACCCTTGTTATGAAGAAATTAAAACACCACCAGCAATGAAACAATTTATTTTCATCATTTACCTCAACAATCAATATCAAGTTCATCATCTGACTGCTCAGCTTGAATCAACCAATTAATCTTATTCACGGCGCAATATTATTATATCATTGAAGTTAATCAATGGTAAAATGAAGGAAAACAAAAGAAAGTCAAATCTCTTTTCATTACCATCATTTGTAAGGCAATGAGAAACAAAAGCCCAATCAACCTTAATTCATCCTACATAATCAAATCATTTCCTCATCATTTTCATCCTCAACTACTCCTCCTTCCCGTCAACCAGAAATAGGTAAACTCACCAGCCAATTAACTATTATCATTAGGTTGAGCACAACTGATTAACCTATCATCACCACCTAAAAGGAAATCAAGTTAATCAAGTTGATCAAAACAATAGCCAAGAATCAACATGGAAAAGCAAAAACAAATTATTCTTTCCTTACCTCTAAATGTTGAACATTATCTGATATTCATCAGCATTCAGATGGAAAAGTCAGGAGAAGAGGAAAAATGGTAAATTCATAGTTAATTGAATGTAGACAATCAGTTGTATTGGCTTATTATCATAACTAATCATCAAATTTACAACAAATTGATGAACTCGTTTTACATTTTTGTCAATCAATCAAAATGTGAATCTGGCTTGACTTGGAGATGCCAAAATCAAACCAACATTTATTTAATTAAGTTAATCATTTGGAATGGCTAATGATTAACCAATTATTTACAGTTTCACTGATCAAATAAAATTGACAAATCAATTAATCAAGGAAAATGATTAAAAATGATGAATAGAATGAGAAGGAAAAAAACTCTACAAATGTTCAATTCAAATGCAATTCAATGTAAATGAATATCATCATCATTATTTAAATCTTTGACTCTGATTGATGAGTTAACAGAAACAAATATTATCATTAAACGATTTAAACTAATCAAAATGCAATTGAAATAATTAAAATTGAATGTGAAAATTGTTTGCAACTCTATTCGCAATGGAACCAGAAAAAAAAGATGAAAAAGTTATCTTTCCTTTTCTTATACCTTTTAATATTTATATTAACATGATGATGATGATGATTTAAAGCAATTAATCATGCTGTGTTGAGTGTCAATCAAATGTAAATATGATTGCAAACAATTTAATTTCAATTGAACAAATGTGTAACTTGAACAACAACCAAAATTTATATTAACTTGTTAAAAATGAGCTTTTTATTGAGATTGATTGGATTCCCATTAGAGTCAAGTAAAGGTAACAAAAACAAACAGGAATCAGGTTTTTGCCGTTTTTGCTGCTTTAACCATTTGTGTTCACATTATGATATCTAAATTGTGCTGTTAAACATTTTAATAACAATCAAGTTAATCATAATCATGATACTGTAACTGTAGAAACGGATTAGACAAAATTAATTGTTGCCTTTAGTTAATCATAATTAAACGCAATTCCCATTCATCTTGATTCTGTAATTCATCTTAACAGGCTAATCTAAATTGTTTCAAGTTTAACCAAATTCATGAAAAAAAAGGTTGTTTTAATTGTTAGACACTAAAAGAAATGTAAAAATTTCATTTTAAAAAGGCTTTCAATGTCAAAATGGAAACAAGAGTTTAATTAAAGTTGACTTCAAGGATTGTCAAATTTACGTTCAAATGAATAATTAAATTGTCCAATAATCATTTTGATTGTTGGGGTAAAAGTTAAGTGTTGCTGGAAGGCTAATGGTTAACCAGAAAAAAGGAGAAGAAGAAGAGAAAAGTTGATTTACTTTTTTCATTATTTTCTAGTTATCATTATGATACAAAAGATGTAATCATAATATTATCATTGATATTGTTGGTTAATGGTGAAGGAGGGA